ACCCTGCACCCGTAATCCCAAAGCGGCAGCCCAAGAGTCAGGGTCGATGTCTCCTTGGGCGAATGTTTCCAGGCGATTGTTTTGCCAAATATCCAATTTGTTGATACCGGTAGACGCTCGCCCAGACTCGATCGGGATTTGTCAGACGGCGCTGTCGATAGTTTTCAGTCATGGCGGCATCTCGGGCGAAAGAGACTGGAGCTAGAGCCGAGGGGCAAATCACCCTTGGGGCTTCAAACTCTGCGGACTTTTGTCATCGGCGCATCCATTCGGGAGTGTTCAAGACAAGTCGCTAATCGATGACTCGTCTCGGCCAGTACAGGCATGGCGGGGTCGCTACAACCGTGTACCTGCATATATTCTACCAATAGAGTAAGTAGGATGGGCAGCTGCCTGAATCCTCTACCGTGGTGCAGCAGAGATTACCATATTTGGCTAGGCGGAGGATGAGGGCCCTAGGAGCATAATCGCACAGTAATCTGTGTAATCATGCTTGATAAAAAAAAATGCACGAGAGTCAGGTATGCATGTAACCTGAGACTGAATTCGTACACCTTAACACTATACCGAAGTCTTACAGAATTTATGTATTCAAGTATGCGATCCACAGGTGCTTACGATCACCTACCCAAGGACAGGTCACGATCCTTCTTGTCCAATGTAACGTGCAGCAATCACAATAGAGGAACCGCACAACTTCACGACACGTCGAAATGTTGTGTAGTCCGGACTTCCTTTTAGGGCGAGACAGAGTTGAATGCCTAGTCAGGTTCGGAGTGCATTGAGTGCATGGACTCCATACCGAATCAGTAATCTGTAAGCAAGCCAGGTAACGTTAGTCGCTAACGATAGGCGAACCGCGACGTTGCCGATTGGCTAATTGCAGTCGAGGCTGAACTGTTCTGCTGCAAAGTAGCCGTGATCGCATTCCACGACGGCAACTGGCGCCGTGCGATTGGAAACCAACTTCAACCTCCCACAACGGCGCAAGCCTGCGATACTTCGACCAAGGGCACGAGGGATTGGAAAACAAAACCAACAATGTGGTGACCCAGCAAACAGCATTATCAAACATCCGACGATCCTTTACCGCTTACCTTCTCTTCCAAGCCGTGTGCACCCTCTTCCTTACTCGACGAGAAACAAAATTACCCAGTCTCCAAAGGAATAGACGAGATCGAAAAAAAGAGGCCGCCACCATGGCTGACGACGACATAACTCCCCTGGCGTCCCTTTCCCTCACCCACGTCTACTATGTGCGTCCGCCCCCTCGCTCGTCTTCCCTTCCCTCGCCCAAGCAGTTGAAACAGGGAGGTAAAGTCACTAATCACATCCACGCTATGGATGCAGAACCCCACAGACCCGCTCTCGACCGTCTCGGCTTTCCTCTCGCTTCTCCCGCAGGCCCTCTGTGTCGTCTACGTGACGCTGCTTTGGTCGACCCGCGAGGCCGAGGTTCTTCTCATGTTCGCCGGCCAGCTGGCGTGCGAGGCCGTCAACTTCGTCCTCAAGCGCCTGATCAAGGAGGAGCGCCCGCGCCGGCTGGTGGCAGCGGGCGCAGTAGTGGGCAAAGGTTACGGCATGCCCAGCTCGCACGCGCAGTTCGCCGCCTTCTGGGCTGTTGCGGTCGGGCTCTTTCTGTGCGTGCGGCATCGGCCGAGGTCGCGGCTGCGGTCCTCTGGGGCCGGGCAGCGTGTTGTCGCGACCGGTAGGGATGGGGGTGGGGGTGGTGGAGCAGCCGGTGAGCCAGGTTTAATCGATGTGTATCGGGCGTACGCCCGCGGCGGGTTTGCGGCGACCAGTCGGTCAATTGAGGCGTATTCGCATTCGCACTGGACGCTGGCCCAGCGCGTCGTGGTGAGCACTGGTGCGCTGCTCGTTGCCGGGCTGGTGGCGTGGAGCAGGGTGTATCTAGGGTACCACAGTGTGAGGCAGGTGCTGGCCGGCTGCGCGGCCGGAGCGGGGTGTGCGGGGGCCTGGTTTGCTGTAACGTATCTGATGAGGGAGATGGGACTGGTCGCTTGGGCGCTAGAGTTGCCGCCTGCGAGGTGGTTCCGAATGAGGGACTTGGTGGTGGAGGAAGATTTGTGCCAGGCGGGGTGGGAGAAGTGGGAAGAGAAGCGGCTGTTGGCGTTGGAAAGAGAGCAGGAGAAGAAGAAAACCAAAGACAAAAAGGGGCAGTGAGATTATGGGTAGAGAGAACAAAGTCTACCGGCAAGTATCTAACTTGATCACATGGAACCAAGACACTTCCATGATCCATGGCCGTCTATTCGTTACAGGTTTTGCTCCGGGCTGTTTCATGAAGGTAATCGTACATATCGAACCGCTCCTCTTATTTTTTTCATCACTTGGAACCGAATCTGTCACTTCTGGCCCATCAACGCTACCGCCACGCCGGTTGCCATCGCCACAACCAGTCCGCTTCATTCTACCAGAACCCCTTCAACATCTTACCGGTATACCCCACCATTGTTGTCATAACCATTGTTATCGTAGCGATACCCAACACCAGTGTTCGGGTATTGTTCCAACGGAATGTCACCACCGGCAGCGGCACCCCCGTAGGGTGACTTATTCGTACTGTTGCCCAGCCCGCCATACCCACCGCTGCTGCCCACCCGGGTTTGCTCGGTCGCATAGCTATTGCGCAAGTCATCCGGGGTGGAGTGCTGGGGCAGCACATTGGGGTTCTGGTAATCGTCCGTGGCGGTAGTGCGCTTCCGGCCGAGACCAAACCAGTTGAAGCGCTTGCGACCGCCATAGCCCTCGGTGTAGTTGTTGGCCGGGGACGGACCGAAGCGCGCCTCCTTACGGCGGTGTCTGACTAGGGCCAAGCTCACAAACGGGGTGAGGACGAACAAGAAGCTGTCGGTTAAAGTTGCATGTCAGCCCCAAAAGGTTCGTCTGCCGAGAGTGGGAAGAAGTAAAAAAACTTACACCGCAACTATTGATACTGCCAAGGATGCCGTCTCCATTTTGCAGGCCGTCCTCAAACTCGGCAGTGCCGTGAACCCGCCACTGCCGTTATCCACGACATTCGTATCTGCGTTCCCTTTTCCATAGACCGTATCGACAACCCCGTTACAGGTCGACGCCCCGCCTCGGTTGGCGGTAGCAATGTAAATGAAAGCGCCAATGAAGGCCACGTCGAAGACCATCGTGATAAGGGATGGGAACGAACGACCGGCGGCGCAACAAAGCATGAGCAGAGCGAGGATAGTGTAAAGGACGCCGGCGCCCGATATGCCTTCGACGGCCCGTACCCAGGTACGGATAGGCATATTATGGTTGGACAGAGTTGCGAGGAAGTAGGAGAAGAGAGCGAGCACGATGGCGGCACAGCAAAACTGCAAGACGCGGAGGAAGAAAAGCAAACCCCGAAGGGCAATCCCACCGGCTGCGCCCATGGTGTTGACGATGTTTCTATGTCAATGTTTCGAACACCAAAAAAAAAGAAAGAAAGAAAGAAAGAAAATGACGATTAATGTTGTGGGTGGTTGTGCTTGATTATGCGTCTGCTGTAGCTACCCAGAGTGCGATAGCTTCAAAAGATCAATAGTCGTACCGAGTTACCTGAGCCGCAAATCTAGCATTCAAGGCAACCGAAATGGAATCGGGGAAAGCGAGAAAGTTTCAGGAGCGAGCTTGATGGTTGGAAACAAATGACCATCCCACGTCGACACGATTCAGAACATCGAAAAGAAGCCGCCGTATGGAGACGTGGAGGACCCAGAGCATCGGCCAAGCCCTCAGGTTGCGGCTTGTTGCATCACTGTGTCAATCGGCCGGTTAGTGACCTCCAGAAGCCGGCAGGGCCGGGCCCGGGAGGCCCACGCAACTCCTCGATCCGCATTTTGATCAGCTATTGTTCTGCTTTGGTCCAATCATCTGTTGTTTTGCCACAAAATCAGAGCGGACCACCGCTGATCTGTTCGCTGAAACATTGCCGTTTCTGTTGCGCCGCCCCGAAGCAATGACGAATCTTTTCTCTTGTGGTTGTTTTGCGTTGATCGAAGCCCCACGAATGACGCAAGCCTTTTCAGCAGCTCTATCTCTTTTGGTGGGGCATGGTGGGGGTGGTGTGGCGCACGTTGACTGAATTGTGCCGCTAGCCACAAACACCGTGTTTGAGGCCAACGGGCACTGCCACTGTGGCGCATCTTCAGCGAAGACGACACCTTCCCAATACCACAGACGTAAGCTTGGACAAACTATGCTTCTGCATTGAGCGGTCAAAAACTCGTTGGGGGCTTAGTTCTGTACTGGTTTGGCTGTAGTACAACTGTGCTCCCTGCCAGTAGTTTACTGGACTCAGGAATTAAATTGGGCTTGCTGCCTTGAACTAGAGCACCCAGCTTCCTTTAATATTCCTTGCGACTGCAACAAGTAGGTGCGCCGGAAGAAAGTTACCGAGATTAATGGTTTTCATATAATACTATCTGCAATCTCATAAAAAAAAGCCTACCAGACTTGTCGAAAAGTTGCTGACATTACTATGTAAATATCCCCGCCATCCCGTTCAGACTAGTCGGGCAAGACTGCCGCAACTACACCATGCTGGTATTTTGGAGAATGGAAACGTATAACTTTAACCCCATTTACTCTTCTTAAGTCGATTGTTGACTGGGTGACGAACATGGAGAAGGGCACTACTACAATTGTTTGGTTACTAGAGCGTTTTGAACATAAAAACTAAAGGGATATCTTCCAATCACCATTTCTCTGTATCAATGCTAAATTTGCGGTCCTTATGGGTTGTTAGCCTGACGCTTAACAGCGGACATGATGAAATACAATTTACCTGCAAGTCCTTCATGTGCCTGCTGATTGACAACCCACTCCGTTTGCCTGCCATAGGAAAGCGGTAGAGCCAGGCCTCGGCTCTTGTCACTGTAGATTTTCTAGCCCACTCTGAGCAACCACCTATATATACACCTTCCCATAACACAATTTCGTATGATAAACCTCTTCTACATGCAACAAACAAACCAGTGTAAACCTCTTTGGTGTAGCGATAACATAGCGGATTCTCAAGTATGAGTGCTTCCGTTGCCCGGGGTTCGACTCCCCGGAGAGGTATTTCGCTTCTCACCAACCTGTCCTTATGTATTCATACCATTTTGTTGTTATCGAACATGTATATCAGAATGCCTTTCCACCCAAACACTCGTTATTGACACTCAAGGACAATGAAAACAGAAACGCACGCCCGACCATCTAGCCAGCGATGCCCTTGAGAATCCGGCTGACTACCTGATAGGAAGAAGAATTTCTTTTCATTTCCCCCTCATAATACAGAGTACTGTAAGAGCGGCCTCCCTTCACGTTATTTTACCAACAATTTTGTTAACTTGGGCTTACGAGACTACGGTATCACAGATCTCCCACACACCACCCGACTCGAACAACACAGCTAGTCGGCCTGATTCAAGGGTTCACTGTTCAACCATCCGTTCGGTTGACTTTCATTGGAATTCGCGAAGGCTGTTTCGAGAAATCCAAGCATTAGGTCGTCTTTTCTCGCGACGCTCCTCCTCGCGACATGATGCCCAACTTGCAACTCCTCAATCTGCAACTGTCTCCTTAATCTCGCTTTTTAGACCTACCTAGCACGCAATTGGCTGTGAGGTTCTGACAGAGGCAAGTGCTCAGGGCCAGGACTATTTTAGCATGATAACGCTCGCTCGCCAGCGCTGAAATGGTCGTTCATAACTCAATTGTTCGAGCCTGGAATCTGGGTCGAGTTCGACTAATGGGGTAAGTGGCATGGATCCCAAGTTCCGGAAGCGGTTGGTCTTTCAGAGATTGCGGTACCTTCCCGCCAAGGTGATTGTTGGCCCAGAACATCAAAGCGCATCCACTTCAATTCTCCAGCTTCTAAATCCTGTCGCCCGAGTCAGAAATCGAAGCGTCCGAACAGTCCTGAGCAACGACACCCCGATTTCCGGCACGGGATACCACGTGGGATCGGCACAAGGATGATGCCAGAAATGCCAAGATGTCCAACCCAGGGACCGGATGATCGGCAACCAAACCACAAGCGAGAGAATCCTCTGTGCTGCAATTGATGCTGCATGCAGACACGAGAAGCCTCGCGATGGTTGCCAACAACTGTTCGCTTACATGCTGGCTCGCCGCGCACCGATAGCGGAATCGTGGAAAAGAATAAAATGCGGAAATTTGAACGGGGAATATATCAGACTACTTCGACTCCGTTGACGTGGCGCGCCTTACGGAGCTCGGGTGAGACTGCAGGCCAGAACAATGGCCTTTCGATAGTTGCAGGGCTCAGGCGAGCGCCCGCCAATGCCAAGCATCTTGTCATGCTCCACAAGGCACGGAATGGGCGAGATGCGGCTGGGAGGCGGAATCGATAAGCTGGCGCCCAAACCAATCAGACATAGAGCGGCCCGGTAGAAGCGGTCCTTGGCGTTCCCTGGACCTGGACATGTTGAGCGAGACCCCTGCTGAAATACGAGTGACCAGGGTCCAATATGCAGATGCGCTGGAACGTTCAGGCAAGGGAGGTCACATCGTCGAGTCGAGACTTCACAGCTGAGGGAAGGGAGTAAGTTTCACGGAAGAAGTCAAAACCACGTCGCCGCCCGACATGCCCGCCTTAACGAGCAACCCGCGATAGTTCTCACTCACCCGGCCCTAGACCGTCTCGGCCGTCTACTCTCGCTTCTTCCAACTCGCCATCTCCTGTCGTTTCGTACCTATAGAGTCGAACCCGAAACACACCTTGCCTGGGTCACAAAAACAAACCGCTGGGGGCCAAGAGTCGTGTAACCGGTTTTCCGTACACTCGTTTTACCCCCACGAGGGACACCTCTATGACTTTTGCCTACTAGGCACCTAAATGGTCTAATTCTCGCCCAGGATGAGAACGAAAACACCTGCTCTCGCCGGTCTCCTCTCCCTGGCGGCTCAGACCGCCTGGGCCGATCCCACATGGCCCGCTGCTACCGACCACATGGAGGAGATCGTTTACCAGCTTCAGGGGTTTCAGGGGAGCTTGTTCAACGACATCATCACACCCTGCAACAACGAAGCTGCTGGTCCTGGACGTATTACGGCGAGCGAATGGCTGCGTGTGGGTTTTCAGTATGTGCTGTTTGATTTTCCGCGGCGTGTTGCGCTGGGTGGGCTGCGATGAGGTGCCGATAGATGCTTCTCTCACAAGTGTTGGCACTAGATGGCTGCTGGAACGGCATGCTGGGAATATATCAACCACTAACCTTGAATTAGCGACATGGCACCGCACAACCGCTATTTTGGCACAGGCGGCCTTGATGGCTCGTTGCAGTTCGAACTGAACAACGGCGAAAACACCGGCCCTGGGCACCGCACTACGCTCGAATTCTTTGCCAATTACCTGTCCTCCAGGTCAAGCCTTGCCGACCTGATCGCCGCCGGAGTCTACGCCTCGGTCCGTTCCTGCGGTGGCCCCGTCATCCCCCTGAGACTAGGCCGCGTGGATGCCACCTCAGCTGGTAGCGCTGGTGTTCCACAACCCCAGAACTCGGTTGTTACCTTCCGACAGCAGTTCGACAGGATGGGCTTTACCGCTACCGAGATGATCCAACTGGTCGCCTGCGGCCATACCCTCGGCTCTGTACATAGCACCGAGTTTCCCCAGATCGTCCCCGCCGAGGTCGGGCAGGTTCCTTTTGACACGACCAACGCCTCTTTCGACAACAAGGTGGCCACCGAATATGTCTCGGGCACCACGAAAAATCCGCTTGTCGTTGGGGCTTCTATCGGCGTCGGCCGCAATTCCGATTTCAAGGTGTACAACTCAGACCAGAACGTGACCATCAACACCTTGACTGACCAAACAGTCTTCCGTGAAACTTGCCAGGCCATGCTCCAGAAGATGATCGATGTTGTACCTGACGGTGTCACCCTTACTGATCCCATCGCGCCGTATGCCGTTAAGCCAGTCGACATGCAGCTCACGCTCAACTCGGGTGGCACCAACTTCCTATTGACGGGATCCATCCGGGTCAGGACCACGGAGCTGCCAACAAGCTCCATCAAGAACCTTGTCCTCACCTGGAAAGACAGAAACGGCGGGAACAGTTGCGGGTCGTCCAACACTTGCTCCACAACGTCCACTCTGCAGGGCGTCGCGAATGGTTTTGATGACACCTTTGGCGTACGTACCTACTTAGCATAGCCGGTATGATATGACGTTGTTGCTGACTGCCATATAGTTCTTTCCCATTGAGGCGACGATTCCAGCTGCAGCTGGCATCTCGTCGTTCACCCTTGTCTTGAACCTCAATGATGGCTCGAGCAGGACGTACGACAACAATGGCAACTCCTACCCCATGTCAGATGCCGTCATCCTGCAAAAGCCACAGAGCTGCCTGCTCCAGGGAGCAGGATCACTCACAGTTTCCGCTCTGGTAAATTTTGACCTGGCCAATTAGCAGCCCGCAGCGATGCTAACTCGGAGACAGCTCCGAAACGATCTCACCGACCTCCCCGTAAACCTGGGCATGTCGTATTTGACCCCTCGTGAAACCGCCGACAACAACCCGGTTCCGGCCTTAAATGAAGCTACGATTCCAATGACAAAAGGCGACTGTGTGGGCCAGTACACCTTCTACTCGGGGAGTTTCACTATCCCTGGCGGACTCAGCTACAATGCCCGGATCAGCGTGACAGCCGGCTCAGGTACCACCGCTTACACCGATGATTTCAACAAGGCTAGCGACCTCAGCGGCACTTGTGGTGCCTTCGACGGCGGTGCCACGTGCTCCGATGTCACTCCTCCGTCTACTTCGTCTGTTACGTCGTCGACCATTTCCACAGCCTCGAGCTCGACCACCGATTCCAGCACTGTCACCAGCTCCAGCAGCACAACCGCAGCCCCGACTCCAACCGTCAAGCCTACCGTCGGCGGGTATGTGTTTGTTGACTGCTGGACCGAAGGAACAGGGGTGCGGGCGCTCAGCGGTGCCACGTTTGCTTACGACGAAATGACCCTCGAGTCTTGCATGACCAATTGCACAGGATTCGATTACTGGGCCACAGAGTATGGAAGGGAATGTTATTGCGGCAACAACCTCCACCCCAGCAGCAGCGAAGCCCCGGTCGAGGAGTGTAACATGGTTTGTGGCGGTGACCCCACCGAGTTCTGTGGTGCCGGGAACCGCCTCGAGCTGTACTCAACCACAGCCACTCGGACCACGTCTGCAACTCCCAGCCCGACAGGGACTTTGGCCGTCAAGCCGACTGTAGGCGACTACACGTTCATTGGATGTCAGACAGAGGCGACCGCCAGCAGGGCTCTCACCGGGAAGGAAGTATATGCGGATGACGCGATGACTCTCGAAAAGTGTGCGACGTATTGCACCGGGTTCACTTATTTTGGCACCGAGTACAGCCGGGAATGTAAGTGGCCTTGTCATTGACCAGCCTCGGACGGGATGACTGACGTACTTTCAGGCTACTGCGGTAACAGCCTCAATGCTGGCAGCGTCTCGGCTCCTGTGACCGAGTGCAACATGGTGTGCGGCGGTGACCCGTTCGAGTACTGCGGCGCCGGCGACCGCCTTGAGCTCTACCGGCTGTCGAGTGAATCCTCCACGGCGGACCCATCCTCGGAAGGTGAGACGGCGTGAATAGTTTTGGCTTCGAAAAAAAAAAACGACGCGTCTCCCTCAACGGATTCCTAACTGTTATGGTCTCAAGCCGGCACAACCAGCACGACAACGGGCCCCTCCACCCCGACTGCCACCCTCTCTCGGACCCCTACCGTCTTACCTTTCACACACGTCGGTTGCTGGACCGAAGGCGCCGGCGTCCGCGCCCTGGCTGCCAAGACCTACGCCTCGGCCGATAGCATGACGCTCGAGAACTGCGCCGCCTTCTGCACTGGTTACAAGTATTTCGGCACCGAATACGCGGCCGAGTGCTACTGCGGCAACACCCTCGCCGCGACATCCTCCGACGCCCCGCTCGCCGACTGCTCCACGCCCTGCTCCGGCAACCCGGCCCAATACTGCGGTGGCCCTAACCGCCTCGAGCTGTACGAAGACGCCTCTGCCACCCCGGCCGCTCAACCG